AAGATTCAAGCACACCCTTTAAAAGTAAATAATGAAATTACCATAACATGGTGTCAGTGGGTGGGGTATGCCCTACCTACATTATATGTTTTATTCCAAGGTCATAGAGGAACATTACATTGTACCAGGTATGTAAATATAGGCAGTTACCTAGTGCTTACCATAAAGGACTATATTTACTAGCTTGGTACAGGGTAATTGCATGGGAAGTAATAACAGTATATGACAACTAGAGAAACATCTAAAAAAGTGTAGGCTTTATTATCAGTATAGCATTACACGGGCACTCTGGCAGGTCGAACAGAACATACAAATAATTGCCAAATGCACTTTAACAAATGCACCTAGGGATCAGAGACTGTCATTTCTGCTAGTGTAAACATATATTTAAATAGTATTGTATAGAGTTGCCTATCAAGTGGTGTGGATGACATTTAATGATATACACACACACACACACACATATATATATATACACATATATATACACACACACACATATATACATATACATATATATATATATATATATACACACATACATACATACATACATACATATATATATATATATATATATATATATATACACACATATACATAACACATATGGAATCATGAAGTAACCAAAAAAGTGTTAAACAAATCAAAAATTGTTTTATATTTGAGATTCTTCAAATAGCCACCCTTTGCCTTGATGACAGCTTTGCACACGCTTGGCATTCTCTCAACCAGCTTCATGAGGTAGTCACCTGGAATGCATTTCAATTAACAGGTGTGTCTCCTTAAAAGTTAATTTGTGGAATTTCTTTCCTTAATGCGTTTGAGCCAATCAGTTGTGTTGTGACAAGGTAGGGGTGGTATACAGAAGATAGCCTTATTTGGTAAAACACCAAGTCCATATTATGGCAAGAACAGCTCAAATAAGCAAAGAGAAACGACAGTCTTTAAGACATGAAGGTCAGTCAATATGGAAAATGTCAAGAACTTTGAAAGTTTCTTCAAGTGCGGTCGCAAAAACCATCAAGCGCTATGATGAAACTGGCTCTCATGAGGACCGCCACACGAAAGGAAGACCCAGAGTTACCTCTGCTGCAGAGGATAAGTTCATTAGAGTTACCAGCCTCAGAAATTGCAGCCCAAATAAATGCTTCGCAGAGTTCAAGTAACAGACACATCTCAACATCAACTGTTCAGAGAAGACTGCGTGAATCAGGCCTTCATGGTCGAATTGCTGCAAAGAAACCAATTGAGATGGTTTGGGATGAGTTGGACCGCAGAGTGAAGGAAAAGCTCCAACAAGTGCTCAGCATATGTGGGAACTCCTTCAAGACTGTTGGAAAAGCATTCCAGGTGAAGCTGGTTGAGAGAATGCCAAGAGTGTGCAAAGCTGTCATCAGGCAAAGGGTGGCTACTTTGATTACTACATGATTCCATATGTGTTATTTCATAGTTTTGATGTCTTCACTATTATTCTACAATGTAGAAAATAGTAAAAATTAAGAAAAACCTTTGAATGAGTAGGGTGTCCCCAAACTTTTGACTGGTACAGTATACACACAGTGCATTCGGAAAGTATTCAGACCCCTTTACTTTTTCCACATTTTGTTGCCTTATTCTAAAATTGATTAAATTGTTTTTTCCCCCTCATCAATCTACACACAATACCCCATCACGACAAAAAAATGTTTGCAACTTTATTTAATTTTTTAACCTGGAAATATTACATTTACATGAGTATTCAGACCCTTTACTCAGTAGTTTGTTGAAGCACTTGGGTATGACGCTACAAGATTGGTACACCTGTATTTGGGGAGTTTCTCCCATTCTTCTCTGCAGATCCCCTCAAGCTCTCCAGAGATGTTCGATCAGGTTCAAGTCCGGGCTCTGGCTGGGCCACTCAAAGACATTCAGAGACTTGTCCCGAAGCCATTCCTGCGTTGTCTTGGCTGTGTGCTTAGGGTCGTTGTCCTGTTGGAAGGTGAATCTTCGCCCCAGTCTGAGGTGCTGAGCGCTCTGGAGCAGGTTTTCATCAAGGATCTCTCTGTACTTTGCTCCGTTCATCTTTCCCTCGATTCTGACTAGTCTCCCAGTCCCTGCCGCTGAAAAACATCCCCACAGCATGATGCTGCCACCATGCTTCACCGTTGGGACGGTGCCAGGTTTCCTTCAGACGTGACGCTTGGCATTCAGGCTTATTGGTTTCATCAGACCAGATAATCTTGTTTCTCATGGTCTGAGAGTCCTTTAGGTGGCTTTTGGCAAACTCCAAGCGGGCTGTCATGTGCCTTTTACTGAGGAGTGGCTTCCGTCTGGCCACTCTACCATAAAAGGCCTGATTGGTGGAGTGCTGCAGAGATGGCTGTCCTTCTGGAAGTTTCTCCCATCTCCACAGAGGAACTCTGTAGCTCTGTCAGTGACAATCGGGTTCTTGGGCACCTCCCTGACCAAGGCCCTTCTCCCCCGATTGCTCAGTTTGGCCAGGTGGCCAGCTCTAGGAAGAGTCTCAGTGGTTCCAAACTTCTTCCATTTAAGAATGATGGAGGCCACTGTGTTCTTGGGGATCTTCAATGCTGCAGACATGTTTTGGTACCCTTCCCCAGATCTGTGCCTCGACACAATCCTGTCTCGCTCTACGGACAATTATTTTGACCTCATGGCTTGGTATTTGCGCCGACATGCACTGTCAACTGTGGGACCTTATATAGACAGGTGTGTGCCTTTCCAAATCATGTCCAATCAATTGAATTTACCAGAGGTGGACTGCAATCAAGTTGGAAAAACATCTCAACGATGATCAATGGAAACAGGATGCACCTGAGCTCAATTTCAAGTCTCATAGCAAAGGGTCTGAATGCTTATGTAAGTAAGGTATGTTTTTTATGTTTAATAAATCTTTAAACCTGTTTTTGCTTTGTCATTATGGGGTATTGTGTGTAGATTGATGAGGATGTTTATTTTATTTATTTTAGAATAAGGCTGTAACGTAACAAAATATGGAAAAGGTGAAGGGGTCTGAATACTTTCCGAACGCACTGTATGTGTATATATAGATAAAACAAAAATATAAACACAACATGTAAAGTGTTGGTCCCATGTGTCATGAGCTGAAATAAAAGACAAAAAAGCTTATTTCTCTTAAATGTTGTGCACAATTTTTGTTTACTTCCCTGTTAGTGAGCATTTCTCCTTTGACAATAATCCATCCACCTGACAGGTGTGGCATATCAAGAAGTTGATTAAGCAGCATGATCATTACACAGGTGCACCTTGTGCTGGAGACAATAAAAGGCCACAAAAATGTGCAGTTGTCACACAACACAATGCCACAGATGTCTCAAGTTGAGGGCCAGAGAATTGAATGTTAATTTATCTACCATAAGCTGCCTCCAATGTCGTTTTAGAGAATGTGGCAGTCAAACCGGCCTCACAACCGCAGACCACGTGTATGGCGTCGTGTGGACGAGCGGTTTGCTGATGTCAACGTTGTGCACAGTGTGTTCCATGGTTATGGTATGGGCAGGTTTATGCTACGGACAACAAACACAATTTCATTTATCAATGGCAATTTGAATGCACAGAGATACCGTGACGAGATCCGCACGGCCCCATGTTGCGAGGATCTGTACACAATTCATGGAAGCTGAAAATGTCCCAGTTCTTCCATGGCCTGCATACTCACCAGACATGTCACCCATTGAGCATGTTTGGGATGCTCTGGTTCAACAGCGTGTTCCAGTTCCCACCAATATCCAAGAACTTCGCACAGCCATTGAAGAGGATTGGAACATCATTCCACAGGACACAATCAACATGCGTACTCCTGAGTGGCGCAGTGGTCTAAGGCACTGCATTGCTGTGCTAACTGTGCCACTAGAGATCCTGGTTCGAATCCAGGCTCTGTCGCAGCCGGCCGCGACTGGGAGACTCATGGACGGCGCACAATTGGCCCAGCGTCGTCCAGGGTAGGGGAGGGAATGGCCGGCAGGGATGTAGCTCAGTTGATAGAGCATGGCGTTTGCAATGCCAGGGTTGTGGGTTTGATTCCCACGGGGGGCCAGTATAAAAAATTATAATATATGTATTCACTAACTGTAAGTCGCTCTGGATAAGAGCGTCTGCTAAATGACTAAAATGTAAATGTAAATGAGATGTGTCGCGCTGCATGGAGATGTCACCACTGACTGGTTTTCTGATCCACACCCCAACTTTTTTTTTTTTAAGGTATCTGTGACCAACACATGTATATCTGTATTCCCAGTCATGTGAAAGCCATAGATTAGGGCCTAATGAATTTATTTCAATTGACTGATTTCCTTATATGAACTGTAACTCAGTAAAATCTTTGAAATTGTTGCGTTTATATTTTTGTTCAGTATATATATATATATTTATATACACACACATACAGTCTTGTACGGCTAACCTTGTGGGGACACACAATTCAGTCCCATTCAAAATCCTATTTTCCCTAACCGCTAACCCGTATTCTTACCTTAACCCAAAAACCTAACCTTAACCATAAACCTAACCCTAGCTCCTATCCCTTAACGTAATTCTAACCCTAACACTAATTCTAACTTTAACCCTAAATCCCCTAGAAATTGCATTTGACCTTGTGGGGACTAACAAAATGTCCCCAGTTCGTACATTTTTTGTTTCTTTACTATTCTTGTGGGGACTTCTGGTCCCCACAAGAATAGCTAAACACGTCCACACACAGACACACTGCAATAAAAAATAAAAAAATGAGCGCAACCTGGCGCAACATAAACATTGTAGCGGCTTCTCTTTCAGGGTGCAACCTCGCACAGAAGCACTCTGTGCTCATTACAGCTAGCACCAATTGAATGACTTTGCACTCCCTGTGTGTGCAGGTTAACCTTATGAAAATGATCACAAAATGCTGGGGCCTGGTGACATAGAAACCTGTTTGTATGTCTTGTGCGCACTGAATCACCTACAGTACACCCCTTCACCTTTTAGTTATGGTTCATTTTTCACAGCTTATCAACAAGTCTCTCAAATATGGAAAGCAGTTTCTCTCTCTTTTCTATAGTGGTTGAGTCCAGTTCCACATCAGCAGAGCCGTTGTTCCTGGAAATCTTGTTTTTCATTAGGGCTTCCTTTTCTTTCTGCAGCTCTGCCCTCTCTCTCTCGATTGACGCCCTATCCCTGTCCAGTATGGCTCGCTCCCGTTCCATCGCTGCTCGCTCCCTGTCCATCGCTGCCCTGTCCTTGTCTAGTGACGCTCTGCCTCGCTCAACAGCCACCCTCTCTCTGTTCACTACATCCCTCTCTCTGTCCAGTATCAACCTCTCCCTGTCAAAGTCTGCCTGCTCCCTCTCTAACACTTCTCGCTCCTTCTCCAAATCTGCTATCTGCCTCTCTAGTTCAGCAGTCTCCCTCTCAATGTTCCTGCCAGGGTTTCTCACCAACATGGCTCTTCCGTCTTCAGCTATGGTCTCTACGTCCTCAGCCATGGTCCTCCCATACCCACCCACTGGCATCTTGTCAGGCGCGGCCCTCTCATTCTGAGCTGCACCCCTGCCCTCCTCTCGCAGGGCCCTCTCGCACTCCACCGCTGCCCTCCGGATCTCCTCTGTAGCTGCGTCTGTGTATGCCACCTGTCCATCTGTTACCGTGTTCGCAGCACCAACACTCTCCCCCAGCTGTGCCTTGGCCCAGAACTCAAAAATGTTTGTCCCCTCACCCCCCTCCGGCCTCATACATAGTCTCTTGTTGGCTATGGGAGAGGTAGTGGGAGAGGACGCAAATGAAACGTCCCCAACTTCCCCAAAATCAAACAGTGAAGGGTTTAAGATACGGGCAGACCCAGCTAGGCGGCCCTCAATGGCATCGTCCATGAGGTGGAACCAACGCCAGGACATTGGATTGACTTTCTCCATGCCAAGAGGAGGGTACTTAAAATCCTACACAGAAAAGGGACAATGGGTACAATCAGGTTAATGCTCTATATTGGTCTTGGGTCTGCAGGAGTTTGTACCAGGCAGGCCTTATGACACACTTGATTCAACACATCATTGAGCCGTTGATTAGTTGAACTGGGTTAGTACTGAGCTGGAACAAAAGCCTGGAATCGGTGTTTAAAATAGTGAATTCAAACAGAAGGCTGTTGCCTGCTCTCACATGCATTCATAATCATTACCTTATATTTCTTTTTAAGGTTTTCCCACTTCTTTTTCAACTGCCCGGTTGTAAGCTTTCCTTCGAGACCCAACTCCACTAACATTGCTCTGCAGAATCAAAGTGAGACAAGTCAGATACTACAAATAGGGTTTGATCTTCATAACCAGCTCCTACTTAACACAATGACTTTCGCATAGTCCTTTTTCAAATAACATTGTAAGTAAAAGCACATCAGTGAATCAACATTGATTCATGAATTAAATGGATACATATTTTGTCCTCAAACATCCATTACAGTCAACAAAATGGCATGTGACAGTTCATTTTGAGGTACAAACAAAAGCCAAAACAAATTGTGCTGGGATTATCATGCCAACAAACAGAACATTCACTTGAGCATCATTGTATCACTCACCTCCAGGCAGGCATGGCAGAGTTTCTCTTCCCAGTGAAGATGGCGTCATTCGTTGCACGCAATTTGATCAATCTGGATATGTCATTTTCCGACACTTATTGGGGAAAAATAAAACAATGTTAATCCATCAGCACACGCATAACTTTGACAGACCCCAACTCAGCGACGTCGCAAACGAATATGGTTAACATTAACAATATTAACATTATATTTGAGAACGACATTCATTGTTAGCAATACCATAACACTTACTTTTATAGTTATATTCTGCACCAAAAGGTCTTTTATCCATTGCTTCCATCATGATCAAATACAAGTGTACTAAATTGAAGGGTACTCGAAACAAAGCCCGTATCTTGTAGTGCACTAGCTAGCAAGAGCAAATATGGCGGCGTCCCTCGATCCCCTCGTCCTCCTTCGTGAAGAGCCCTATTTATATAATCCACATTTAAATGAAACAATATACGGGATTTCTTACTATGAATGATTTACTGGTATGTGATTACAGACTGATGTGTAATCAAATAAAAAGTCTGGATAAATTCGACTCAGAAACTAACCTATTTGATAAGTGTGGAGGAGGGTTTTTCACAAGGGCGGTAGAGAAGAAGGCTGCGTCGAGAAATAGACAAATTCAATTGGTTGTGCGCGATACTTCCTTTTAGCTTGCTCAGTAGCTTACGTCCCAAAGGGTAGGCCACAAAAAACTATTAAACCTACAGTACCACAATCTTTGGTAATGCCATTCAACATATTCTATTTCCAACTAGGCAGAACTGTCATTTTACGATTAAAGTGTGAAACCCCACAGAATACAGTTCAATCCCCCAATTGTGGCCTATGAACAACCCCGTAATAACGTTTATATATTTTACATCATATAATGCACACTATAAAGTAAGCAATGTGCAATAAAAATACAAAATTCCGAGTTTAATTTAGATTTATACTATATCAAACAGAGCGTTCCAGGGTTGATTGAGCTGGCTGAACGCTTTGGAGATAAATGTGTGAATTTATTAAGTCAGTAAACTGCTTGCTTACTGCATTAGATTCCAAAGGTCATCTCTCATTCTCATTTATAGGAGAAGTTGACTTTATGATCTTCATCAAAGACAGTAAAACTGTAAGTGGCCTTGCACAAGCCTTGGGTTGTGCGAACTGAACGGCTCACAGGGCAGGACAATCTCCTGTTTTTGAAGCATGTACCAGAAACAGGAAATGTTGTAGTGTTATGTATATTATGTATGTTATGTATATTATATTATATTATGTATATTGTGTATTTTATTTGTTGTTTTGTTTCCTGTTTGGACCCCAGGAAGAGTAGCCGCTGCCAGGGGATCCTAATAAATAAAAAAAGAACCCCATTAAACTACAAAAATACTCAGTTTACTATTCCCTTAATCATTTAGCAGACTACGCACTGTAGTATCCCTTGTGTAGTACTTACTTTAGAATGTTGTAGTATAGTAGAATACTATACTGAACAAAAATATAAACGCAACATGCAACAATTTCATTGATTTTACTGAGTTACAGTACATATGAGGAAAACAGTCAATTGAAATGAATTCATTAGGCCCTAATCTATGGATTTCACAAGTGGGAATACAGATATGCATCTGTTGGTCAAAGACACCTTTAAAAAAATGGGCCTCAGGATCTCGTCACGTTATTTTTGTGCATTCAAATTGCCATCGATAAAATGTATTTGTCCGTAGCTTATGCCTGCCCATACCATAACCCCACCGCCACCATGGGGCACTCTGTTCACAACATTGACATCAGCAAACCGCTCGCCCACACGACGCATACACGTGGTCTGCGGTTGTGAGGCCGGTTGGACATACTGCCAAATTCTCTAAAACGACGTTGGAGGCGGCTTATGGTAGAGAAATTAACATTACATTATTTGGCAACAGCTCTGGTGGACATTCCTGCAGTCAGCATGCCAATTGCACACTCCCTCAAAACTTGAGACATCTGTGGCATTGTGTTGTGTGACAAAACTCCACATTTTAGAGTGGCCTTTTATTGTCCCCAGCACAAGGTGCGCCTTTTTAATGATCATGCTGTTTAATCAGATTCTTGATATGCCACACCTGTCAGGTGGATGAATTATCTTGGCAAAGGAGAAATGTTCACTAACATGGATGTAAACAAATTTGTGCACAACATTTAATAGAAATAAGCTTTTTGTGCGTATGGAACATTTCGGAGATATTTTATTTCAGCTCAGGCAGGGGTAGGTAACCCTGTGCTGTAAGTACTGCAGGATTTTGTTCCAACTAGGCATCACACGCGAGCAACTGAGCAAATTTATCAGTTTAGTGATTTCCTAAATTCAACACACCTGGTCTTCCAGGTCGGTTAAATCAAAAACATGAAGTGTCTGCGGCACTCCAGGACTAGGGATGCCTACCACTGCACAGGTATCGGCAAAACGACAAAATACAGATCAAAGTATCAAAAATAATACTTGTATTTTTTAATGTATTTAATTAAAATACATATATTTTGTATTTTAAATACAAATACATTTGTAACTAGCCGGCCTGAACAGCAACAATATTCTCAGTAACGGTTACAGAAAAGTTTTACTTGCTAGGACTGTGATGTTGTTGTTTATCTACCTTAATTCACTGACTAAGTCATTCTGGATAAGAGTGTCTCCTAAATGACCAAAATGGAAAAGCTGTTCAAAAGAGGACATTGTATTATTTCTTTGTACTCCCTGACGAAGGCCATGCAGCCGAAACGCGTCAGATTAAAAAAAAAACTTGTTTCTGTTGAACATGCCATACAAATAAAGCAATTTTAATTAATTATATGAAGAGTGCCTTGGTCCTCCTTTCTTTTTGATGACACTATATACAATATTGAGCCTGATTATGGGTCAGGGTTCTCTGTCTTCATGCCAATGCATTGAAAATATTGTAAATATACAGGTCAAATGCAGATACTGAACTAAACAAAGGTCATGTAACAAAGAGTGAACAGAGTAAAACTAACTATTTACACATACCGGTACACAATGTATGACACTTCTGGTTCTTGAGAGCAACGGTATTGAAGGGATGCCACTTTCCCAAGGGAGCGGGGTCCCAATGTTCCAAAGAAAGGTCAAGATTGGGAGCAGGACTAAGCTGGAGATAACCAGCATGTTTGAAGGGAACATTTTGAGCAAGGCAAGGCACAGAATCACTAGTCCTGATCACATAATGAGGAGTTATTTGGAATGCAAAGTGATTTGTAGAATAGTTATTCTGAGCAGTTCATGCCTTAGCCATTCTGGGACATCAGTATCGACGTGAAAAATGGTGGGGTCATAGAAAGAGTGAAACTCCTCCTGATCCTCTTCATCCGGGTGGGAGTCACCCGACTCAACCCCATCATCAGTATTGTCAGAGTCCCAGGAATCCTGCACCACCCGACGCAGCATATGGGGTTTGGGCACCGGTACCATCTCCGACGGAGCCATCGCTGATGGTGGCGTGGCATCAGGTGGCAGAAATGTCTCACATACAGAGGTACTCCATGACACGAGTCATCCAGGTCTCATTGTGTTGTACTTGCAGCATCCTGTAGAACCCGGTGATATTTTCTCCCCACATTATCCTCACCACATCTTGTTGCAAGACAAGCTGTTGTACGCAAAAAGACACACACAATCAAAGGTTAGACAGGATCATCAAAAGGAAGTGAGCAGAAGCAATTAAAGTAGATGAGGGAGTTCGATTAAGCTGAACCGCGGTGCATTGGGTTATGGCCCGTGACGTGAACGGGCAAAAGCGGTGAGGGAGAAGCACACTTCTCAAATCGAACGTAATATGCACCGTTCGGTCATGTTGTCAACAAGGCAGCATGATACATCGTTCAGAAACATATCTCTTTTCAATAAAATATACACTAAATTGTACAAAACATTAGGAACACCTTTCTAATATTGAGTTTCACCCCCTTTTGCCCTCAGAAAAGCCTCAATTCGTCGGGGCATGGACTCTACAAGGTGTCGAAAGCGTTCCACAGGGATGCTGGCCCATGTTGACTCCAATGCTTCCCACAGTTGTCTCAAGTTGGCTGGATGCCCTTTCGGTGGTGGACCATTCTTGATACACAAGGGAAACTGTTGAGCGTGAAAAACCCAGCAGCGTTGCAGTTCTTGACACAAACTGGTGCGCCTGGCACCTACTACCATACCTCGTTCAAAGGCACTTACATTTTTTTGTCTTGCCCATTCACCCTCTGAATGGCACACATATACAATCCATGTCTCAAGGCTTAAAAATCCTTCTTTAACCCGTCTCCTACCCTTCATCTACACTGATTGAAGTGGATTTAACAAGTGACATCAATAAAGAATCATAGCTTTCACCTGGATTCACCTGGTCAGTCTATGTGATGAAAAGAGCAGGTGTTCCTAAAAATGTTTACACTCAGTGTATGTTCGAAGTTTCAAACTAGTTTTCATTGAGAAAGCAGATAAAGTGTTTTTATCAGAAGCAATCATTTTTGCATGTGAAAACATTGAATCCTACTCATTACTCCACGTGCTTAACCTACGTCACTTTTGTTTTGAGACGACTTCGCCGTCGGCTCACGCCCGGGAGGCAGCCCGGTTCCAAAAATAATGCAATTAGCGCTAACCCGGTTCACCTGGGGAAGGCCCAGTGAATTAATCGAATCCCCTCATTAGCGCATCAGGTGTGCGGACAGACAAACTTTAGGGGACACTTTCCCAGAGATGAGCTGTTGTAGGCCCTGCCCCCACCTATGTGTTCTTTGTCACCTGGGGCCAAATGGCATAATTGCCCCAACTCTCTCTCACACTATCACCACTACACGTCAAATCAAATCACATTTTGTCACTTGCTTCATAAATAACAGGTGTAGATTAACAGTGAAATGCTTACTTACAGGTCCTTTTCCAACAATGCAGAGTTAAAGATAAACAAATATTTATATACACAGTACCAGTCAAAAGTTTGGACACACCTCATTCAAGGGTTTTTCTTTCTTTTTACTATTTTCTACATTGTATAATAATACTGAAGACATCAAAACGATGAAATAACACATATGGAATCATGTAATAACCAAAAAAGTATATTTTAGATTTTAGATTCTTCAAAGTAGCCACCCTTTGCCTTGATGACAGCTTTGCACACTTTTGACATTCTCTCAACCATCTTCATCTGGAATGATTTTCCAACAGTCTTGAAGAAGGAGTTCCCACACATGCTGAGCACTTGTTGGCTGCTTTTCCTTCACTGTGCGGTCCAACTCATCCCAAACCATCTCAATTAGTGCACCAGTCCCTCATGCAGCAAAGCACCCCCACGCTTCACGGTTGGGATGGTGTTCTTCGGCTTGCAAGCTACCACCTTTTTCCTCCAAACATAACAATGGTCATCATGGCCAAACAGTTCTATTTTTGTTTCATCAGACCAGAGGACATTTCTCCAAAAAGTACGATCTTTGTCCCCATGTGCAGTTGCAAACTGTAGTCTGGCTTTTTTATGGCGGTTTTGGAGCAGTGGCTTCTTCCTTGCTGAGAGGCCTTTCAGGTTATGTCGATATAGTTGTCGGTTTACTGTGGATATAGATAATTTTGTACCTGCTGCCCCAAGCATCTTCACAAGGTCCTTTGTTGTTGTTCTGGGATTGATTTGCACTTTTTGCACCAAAGTACGTTCATCTCTAGGAGACAGAACGCGCCTCCTTCCTGAGCGGTATGACGGCTGCGTGGTCCCATGATGTTTATACTTGCGTACTATTGTTTGTACAGATGAACATTGTACCTTCAGGCGTTTGCAAATTGCTCCCAAGGATGAACCAGACTTGTGGAGGTCTATCATTTTCTTTCCTGAGGTCTTGGCTGATTTCTTTTGATTTTCCCATGATGTCAAGCAAAGAGGCACTGAGTTTGAAGGTAGGCCTTGAACTACATCAACAGGTACACCTCCAATTGACTCAAATGATGTCAATTAGCCTATCAGAAGCTTCTAAAGCCATGACATCATTTTCTGGAATTTTCCAAGCTGTTTAAAAGGCACAGTCAACTTAGTGTATGTAAACTTCTGACCCACTGGAATTGTGATACAGTGAATTGTAAGTGAAATAATCTGTCTGTCAACAATTGTTGGAAAAACTACTTGTGTCATGCACAAAGTAGATCTCCTAACCGACATGCCAAAACTATAGTTTGTTAACAAGAAATTAGTGGAGTGGTTGAAAAAGAAGTTTTAATGACTCCAACCTAAGTGTATGTAAACTTCCGACTTCAACTGTAGGTAGGGGTAAAGTGACTAGGCAACAGGATAGATAAGACAGTAGCAGCAGTGTATGTGGTGAGTGTGAAGGTGTGTGGCTTCAGTATGCATGTTTTGGGCCTTCCTCTGACACTGCCTGGTATTGAGGTCTGACTACTTAAACTGAAATGTTTGGTATCAGACCAGCAGTATAGTATGCAGTATGCATTGATCACCTATAGAGGGTGCTGTGAGCCAACTATTCAACTACAGCTACACTGACAGATTTGCAGGCTCCGAGTAACTAATGACCAAGAATGAGTTGTGAATACACTTCATGACTGTTACTACTTACAAACCCTTAAAAATGATGTCTTATTGGTAGAATGTTCTAAGTTATCACATGTATTGTTCATTGCAATTTTGTGGAGCGCATTTCCCATGCTCAAAGCATTAAGAACACCTGCTCTTCCCACTGATCAGGTGAAAGCTATGATCCCTTATTGATGCCACTTGTTAAATCCACTTGAAATCAATGTAGATGAAAGGGAGGAGACAAGTTAAATAAGGACTTTTAAGTTGAGACAATTGAGAAATGGATTGTGTATGTGTGCCATTGAGGGTGAATGGGCAAGACAAAAGATTTGGGTTCCTTTGAACGGGGTATGGTGGTAGGTGCCAGGCGTGCTGATTGCAAGCCAAAAGGTGTCAAAAAAATGTCATTCACCCAAAATTGACAAGAAACACAGGTCATCATTGTGAAGGATGCCGTGGTTTCACCACAGCAACTCTTTTATTAGCAAAAGAATGGAAATGAATCCACTAACGTCCCCATCCAATGGAAACAGAGGGGTGGGGTTAGGGGGATATGTAACCTGAAACCATTACAAATCATATCGTCATCATCATAACAGTGCACTTCCACCCATCCACCTCCCGTTGTCTATCTATGCACTTCATATCTATGATCCGGTCTGCTACAAGGCTGTAGTTGTCATCCTCTTTTCAAAGTTTCTTTAAAATGATTTGGTGTAGGAATGTTACAGCCCGAAACATCACCAACGACCTGACGTCGCGTTACATTTGAAGTTGTGTTTTTGGTCACTTTTCCAGAAACCAGATAGAGAAGGATGACAAGTAAAAATAAGAAAGTCCCTTTGTATTTATATCCACACACATTCAAACACATTCATGCATGCAAAGTCACACAGCCAAACACACAGCTGCACACATGCACTCACTCACACAAGCAAACAGTGATGCAGCAAAGGCACTCACACACAATCATGCACACAGACACACAGCTCTCACAGTCGAGAGCAAGTTGTTCTTAAATTGGCCTATTCCATTATTTCCATGGACACTAATTCTCTAATGCCATCATAGTCACGGAAACCAAATATTGATATAATATTTTTTTTGGGGGGGGTGTATTCAATTATAACATCTACCATTTAGCCCAAAAAACTGCAACTAATTCGCAAGTACCTACAAACAGAAAAAATTAGTGTCCATTCCTTTCCTAGAAGAAGAAAGGAATGCAAAGGCCCCCCCCCTTTTAATTTTTTATAACTTGACTGGTTAAAACAAAAACAGTGAAAAACTCCAGCCATAGTGACAGTTGTACAAATATTTTACACAAACGTTTTTCTACATGGCATTTTAAAAACTTTTTGAGATGAACATAAGTTAAGAGGTTAAAATTGATGTTCTCTACAAAGTGTCCATCATCCGACCCCCTCCAGCCACAGACGTTCCCAAGAAAAGTCACTGAGCACACGCTGGCCACCACATTGCCTGTACAGAAAGAGGGTAAAACACAATGTTAAGAGAACACCTCTGATATACTAGGTGCCATGCCATACTGCCTAAGCAATCGTTTCAGACCTACACAACTGCGTCGGGCTAGGGGGGCTGATTTGGAATTGAGCATCTGTCCAGGCCTGACTCTAGAAAGTCTTATTACAAACTTTATTACTGTATGTAATTGCCTTTCAAGAACATTGAGTGTCTAACAACACGTTATAAGATATATCCATGTTCAGCCTACCCTAGAAGAGGCCACAGTCCTTCAGGTTGTTCTTGATGATGACGTCGGTGACTGCGTCGAAGACAAACTGCACGTTCTTGGTGTCGGTGGCGCAGGTGAAGTGGGTGTAGATCTCCTTGGTGTCCTTCCTCTTGTTCAGGTCCTCAAACTGACACTGGATGTAGGCTGCAGCCTCCTCGTACGTGTTGGAGCCTTGGAAAGTTGGGGCAAGGAGGAAGTGAGACAGAGACCGAGAGAGAGAGGGAGAAAGAGACATTCCCATAAGTTAGTTTAGGTATTTTAGGGATGACGGTGTCTGTTTTACCTTCACCATTGTGAGTTCCTGAGATGTTAAAGGCCCTATGCAGCCGTTATATCCATTTCAAATCATTTCTGGGTAACAATGAAGTACCTTACTGTAATAGATTTCCATTTTTTTTTTAAGGGCAAAATAGCTTGTTAGCAAAATATTTCTCAATTTTGTAGGACTGTCTGGAAGTGGTCTGAGTGGAAAACTGAAAACGATTAGTTGCCGGAGTGTAACTCCAGTTCTATGAGTGGAGCGGAGCCCCATAGGGGAGCTCTGCTCCTATTGGTTTACCCACTGCCCTAAGGCAGCATCAGCCTGAGACAAAATTATGCACACACCTGCAGCCAATAGGAGTACAGGTGTCCCTATAAGAGGGGATGCCTCCCCTCAATCAGCCTCCCAAGATATTTATCTTCAGCGAGACTAGAGGGGGTCGGCAGGGCCTTAAGTCCTATGGGGCTCCGCTCCACTCATAGAACTGGAGTTACACTCCGGTAACTAATCGTTCTATCTTGTGGAGCTCCGCCCCATAGGGGAGCTCTGCTCCTATTGGTTTAAGGTGGAGCGTAGAGCCCAACACTTCCCATCCAAATGAAAAGGTCAGGCCTAGCAATGGCTGCAACCAATTCCCGCAGTACTGCAACCATACAAGTGTCACAATATACTGCGTCATCGGTTAAAAACCCGCCCCACCTAGTCCAATGGCAACACCAATGACTAGTGGGCAGATCACCAGAATACAGGCCATACTAATCTGTACTAGCAGATAGATGGTACCCTAATATCCTGTCACAATCATACCGACCACTAATGGAATGACACAAAGTGTCACTCTACATTGTGTATACGGTAGGCCGCCTTACTCAATCAATGGAATCCCAGAGATTAGTGGGCAGATCCCAGAACATGATTTATACTAATCTGAACAAGCAGATAGATGACGTCACATTCCGTCAAATTGTCATGACCGGTCTAATAGTATCGTAACCCAGGTTACTACTATTATCCCTCATCATTCCGCCTCAACCCAGTGAATCACTGGTGGGCAGATCAATACATGCCCTCTACTGTACTGAACCTGTCAGTCAGGAGTCATGTCAAACATGATGTCCTTCTATCAGAAGCGGACCTGAAGGAGACCTGTCTCCACAGTCCTGCATTCCTCCCTCCTAGCTCAAGTTCTCCCTTCAGCTACGCTGAGTACAGACTGAGCCAAAGAGTTAGAAGACATATCCAAGAGATAGAAACGGATAAATGGAGACTGTGTTGACCATGACGCCGCTCTACATATATCCTCTACCCCTGTTCCTCTGAGAAGGGCAGTAGAAGCTGCTACTCCACGAGTGGAGTGAGCTCTGATACCCTGAGGCAATTGTCGCCCCGCTGCCTCATAAGCTGTCTCAATGCCCTCACAAAGCCAATGAGACAGACGCTGTTTCGAAAGTGGTCTACCTAGTGCAGCCGCACCGTGACACACAAACAGCTGAGGCGATGACCTAATCGCTGCTGTGCGCTCAACGTAACACGCCAAAGCGTGCACTGGGCACAGGCGATGGAGCCTTTCCTCACTCCTCTCCCTCTGAGGAGGGGGAGAGAAAGCCCACAGCTCCACGGTCTGTGATCTATATGAGCTCTTAATAACCTTCGGCACAAATGCCGGGTTAGGACGTAACACCGCTCTGCTCAGATCACCATTAATGGCCAGGCAGTCGGGTCTCGTCGAAAGAGCACACAAATCACTGACACGCTTAGCAGTAGTCAAAGCGAGCAACAGTGCCGTCTTCATAGACAGCATCTTGAGGGGTATTTGATTCAATGGCTCGAACGGCGACTTACATAGCGCTTCGAGTACCAAAGCCAAATCCCACTGAGGAAGCGTGGCTCTAGGCGTTGGCCTAAGCCGCCGCGTTCCCAATAAGAAACGTTTCACTAGAGGGTGGCTGAAGACATTGTCTCTGCCATACCCCTCGCCACAAGCTGAAATCGCCGCTGCAAACACCTTAATGGTGGCGGGCGATCGCTGCTTATCAAACATAAGCTGTAGGAAAGAGAGAACACTCTCAACCTGACAGCTCATGGGGTCTACACCTTGTGTGACACACCATCGTGAAAACACATTCCATCTCCTGGCATACATCCTAGAAGTGGAACTGGCACGTGCACCCTGTATGGTTCTGATCACTGCATCAGATAACCCACGGCGCTCTAGCCTGTCCCTCTCAGCAGCAAAGCCTTCAGTGGTTGGCAAATTATGGGCAACTGCCCTATCGAGCCCCCCGCCTGAGACAATGCGTCCCGTCGATGTGGAATTGGCCAAGGTGGCGCAATCAACATCTGACTCATCTCCGCAAACCAAGGAGCCCCTGGGCGATCGGGGGCTATCAATATCACTGACAGCCCTCCTGACCTCACCCTGGCTAACAGTGGGAGAATGCAGGACAGCGGAGGGAATGCATACAGAAGAACTCTCGGCCACGGGTGGTGCGCAATGGCGTCTCTTCCCAGTGGCGGTTCGTCCTGTTCCCTCAGAGAGAACCATAGGGGACATTGCGCGTTCCACCTCGGCTCTTCCGAATTGTTCCCAAATTTTTGAACAATGTCCGGGTGCAGACACCACTCGTCGTCTCGAGGACCCCCTCGCGACACGAGGTCTGCCCCTGCGTTCAAGTAGCCCGGAATGTGTGCTGCTCTCAATGAGCGAAGGTGCTCGTGAGCCCACAGCCACAATTCCTCTGCCGCCCGATGGAGAGCAGGAGACCCGACTCCTCCCTGGCGATTTATGTGGGCTACTGTGGTCCGGTTGTCTGACCAGACCAGCACATCGCGACCCCGAAGGGTAGACGCGAAGTGGGTCAGAACCAGTCGAACCGTTTCCAACTCTAAGAGGTTGATGTGGCGACTCGAAAGAGGCCACACACCTCCTATCGCTTGGGTCTGACATGTCCCTCCCCATCCAGTCAGAGAGGCATCTGTGAACACTGGAATGTAAGAGGACACTTTGCCTATCGGGACTCCGTGCGTGAGAACGCGCGGGTTTCTCCAATAGTTCAGATCTGCGGAACCACAGAGTGGGCTGACGACATGAGACCCAAGAGTGACATGATCGACAGCGCCGTCACCGTGTGATTCGGACGACACTTCCTCAGGGCTAGCAACAAGGCTACCCTTCGAGGGTCCGAAATTCGAGCCCTCATCATTACAGTGTCTAGCTGTATCCCCAGGTAGACAATCTGATGACTGGGCCAGGGCGCGCTCTTTTTCCAATTCACAGCGAACCCCAGACGTGTGAGATGAATCACTGTCTGTGTTGCGTGAGTGATCGCCAGCTCTGCTGACGGGGCGAGAACCAGTAGGTCGTCTAGGTAGGAAACTTCCTGTGACGCGGCTGTACCGGCACATGAAAGTACGCGTCCTTTAGGTCTATGCTTGTACAAAAGTCTCCCTTCTGGACACATTCCAGCAGACGTTTTGTCGTTAGCATTCGAAAGGGCCGTTTGGTTACGCTCTCGTTGAGAATGCGTAAATCCAATATCGGCCTCGTTCCCCCCGTCTTTTTGGGCACCAGGAAGTAGGGCGAATATAGCCCTTTGTTCCTTTGCTCCTGGGGAACTACTGTGACCGCCTCCTTCGCCAAAAGTTCCGTAATCTCTGAAACCAGAGCGGCCAATTTTTCGGGCGTTTTCATCACCGTCTCCACCACTCCCCTGAATGGGGGTGGGGTCCGATGGAATTGGAGGGCATAACCCTTCTGCAACGTCTGGTCTAGCCAGCGTGAGAGGGTACAGCTTCGCTGCCACTGCCAGCAATGCAGAGAAAGCGGGCGAGCGCGAAGCTGTGGTACATTCAGTAGGAAGGACCTGTATTCCTCTATGGCCCTTGCCGCCGCTGTTCTCCAACACTGAGGTGGTGGAACAGTCCAAGGTGGGCCTCCCCTGAAAGGGAGAGGAAACATCAGTGCGCTCTGAGAGAGGAGGGGCAGAGACATCGGTTAAACCCGTAACCGTCGTATTCCTGCCCTCCGTGAACGCAGCGCGGGTCTGAACTGCACTGACCGAGGCCACAGCCTGCGACAGGGCACCATCCCCAGCGAGCGATTGCGTCATCATCCCAGACTCTGGCTGTGACTGCAATTCGCTATTAGAGCCCCTCACTACAATACTCCTAGGAGTCTGTAATGTGAGGTCTCTGAGGTAAAGGCGGCGCCTTGATACCTTCTTAACCTTCACCTTCTGTGTGTGTTCAACTCTGCACCTCTGGTGGGTTGAGCTACACTCAGCGTGGTGAGCATTAGTGCGTTCTGTGAGAAACGGGGGCGCCGATACGTTGGTTATTCCCGTAACCGTAGTAATCAGGCCCTCCGTGAACGCAGCATGGGTCTGAATCGCACTAACAGAGACCTTAGTCTGCGATAGTGCGCCATCCCCAAATAGCGGCTGCGTCATCATGTCAGAGTCTGACCGAGACTGCTGCCTGCTATGTGAAGCACTTATTATACTTGAAGTGTTATTTGTACCTACTCTGAGTGCCTGTTCGGCAACGCACCCTTGGTGGGCTGAACGGCGCTTAGAGTGGTAGGAAAGAGAGGGTGAGATATGAACGCTCTCGGACGTATTATGGAAAAGGGGCTCTTTTTTGACAAAGTCAGGTGGAGCCAACTCTTTATTGTACACATCACAAAAAGCATTATCATCATCACCCATCCCTTCAACCGAAGGGTGGGGGGGGAACAGTGGCCACGTTCGAATCCGACGTGTCCTCCATCCGCTCCCCCGCGTCCCGTCATGTGCGCCTCCTCTTGTGGCCTCCCTTTGGGGGCCAGGTCGGCGCTCTCACCACTTCTCTCGCCGGCTGCAATGGGGCCACCGTGGCTGCTGGGGGGCTGGGCCCGCTCTCCTGCCTCCTGTGGCCGCCGGATGCGCCGCAGATCCCTGTCTACCCTGGGCGGCGGAAGTGGACGGTCTTTGTTGAGGTGCAGGGCCTAACCTCCCTGCCAGTGGCAGGTGTCTGGCCAGCTGCTTGTTCTCCTCGTCCAATCTCAAAAACCTCTGTCGCCTCTTTGACGGCAACTCCGAAGAGCCAGTCGTCAGAGAGGGGGGCGTTAAAGAGGGACGTCCTGTCTGCCTCTTTCATGGTCGTCAGAGACAACCAGAGGTGTCGCTCCGCGACCACCGAAGTGGCCATGGACCTCCCCGAGCAGACGGCCGATGCCGGTGTTAGGTGCAGGATGGCGCCAGAGATTCTGGACGCTTCCTCCACCTCCTCTGGTGCCAGCTCAGTCTTACCCGTGGTTAAACGGGACAGAGCGGCTGCCAAGAGGGCAATGTTATTGGCTGCTGCTACAGCCTGGGCTCCCAAATTGAAGGACTTCTCTAACAGCTGTGCTGTGAGACGGTCCTTCTGAGATGGCAGAGTGGCCTTCTTGGAAGAGGGCCAGGGACTCGAACCCGGTACGAGATACGCCGCCATGGCGCTCTCTAACCTGGGGATTCCTCTCGCTGGGCCCTGGAACCTTCCCTCCACTCTAGTGAATGGGAGGTACGATTTAGCCGGCGAACGCGCCGCTAAGGGTGCCTCCCATGAGCCCTCGACGTACTTGGCCAACGAAGGCATGGCTGGAGCCAGTGGCTCTGCCGCTCTCCTTGGCCTGGAATAAGGGCCGCCCTCCATTAAATCAACCTCCGGTGCGGAGGGAATAGGGGGCAGCGCTATATCCAGCCGTCTGGCAGCTCTCTCAATGAGACCGGGAAAATCCGACCTCAGAGAAGCTGCGGCGAAGGACAGGGCTTCTGATTTCTCAGAACCCGTGTCGTCATCACCATAGGAACTGCAAGCCCTCTCACTAACCAAAGGAAAGGGGGGCTTGAACGTATGAGGGACGGGGCCAGACTGTTCCATTGGAATGCCTGCCTCCTCCTCATAGTCCCCATCATCTCCAGAATCTGCGCCGTCAGATGACGCCTCTGAAGCAGAGGCTAAAATTGACAACACATCTTCTAGAGGGATATCCTCCCTAAAAAAACGCCCAGCGCTGCTTCCTCTCCCTTATAGAAAGGAGGGCGCAGGAGGCGCAGTTAGAGGGACTGATGACGCCCTCTCTGGCATGCTGAGACCCCAAACACACGAAACATAAGTCCTGGGAGTCACCAGCCGCCTTGGAGGAGCATCTGCATTGAGCTCTGAAAAGAGCTTTTGAGGGTGGAAAATCTCCTGGTGTGCTCATTTCTATGGACGACGTCGATGAACTGGAAATTGACGGCGTATCTCGTCCTGAGTCTTTCTTTGTGTCTTCTTGGCTTCTCCAGTCTAGTCCAGTCGCTGAAGATAAAGGGAGGCTGATTGAGGGGAGGCATCCCCTCTTATAGGGACACCTGTACTCCTATTGGCTGCAGGTGTGTGCATAATTTTGTCTCAGGCTGATGCTGCCTTAGGGCAGTGGGTAAACCAATAGGAGCACAGCTCCCCTATGGGGCGGAGCTCCACGATATAGAACTAGCGGTTATTGGCAGAGGTTTGGAACTCTTATTGGTCTATTAAAACAATTTAGCACATGGTGATGTCACCATGGAAAGCCGAAACTTCCGCCCATGCAAACCTGCTGATTAGAAGGTCCTGTGTAGATAGTTGCTGGTTGAAAATTCAAATCAGGAAATAACACTGAACAAATGTTTTTACACTTAAAGTGATAGTTTCATCAGCTGTTGTACAATATGATATAAAACACAGGAAAAACAGAATTGACTGCAGGTGTTGTGAGATCTGATAATCTTCACAACGCGACTGCAATTAAGACGACCTGGAACACGCTGTGCGATCAGCCTGAGCAAGGCTTAGCACGGTATCACTAAAATGTGGGATTCAAGATGATTTGTAGAGTAGCTGATAGTGATGTGTGTGTGTCTCTTACCTGCGTACTCCGGGTAACAGATAGTGAGAGGACTCTTTTGGATCTTCTCCTCGAACAGATCCTTCTTGTTAAGGAAGAGGATGATGGAGGTGTCTGTGAACCACTTGTTGTTGCAGATGGAGTCAAACAGCTTCATGCTCTCATGCATCCGGTTCTGAGGGACAAAAAGACAACCACACAATGCTTTTAGTTACACATGTCCATCGGTCCCATTATAGCCTGGTCCCAGATCTGTTTGAGCGGTCTTGCCATGAGAATGACCATCGTATTGGCAAGACCGCACAAGGAGATCTGGGACCAGGCAGGCTAGTCACATTATCCCAAGAAAGGAAATTCATCTGTTTGTGGGTACCACACCATACAAGTTTGTTCTTTGAAATAAACCGTTTTTAAAAATGCATATAACATATTTCACAAGTGTTGCTATCGTTCTGATGACGTCGTTGTCTTCCTGACGCAATAGGGGCAGAAAATGTGAAATGGAATCTGTGGATAAATGAACACTTGTTTCATACGAGAAAGAACGAAAGATGACTGAGGGATGACAGTAAATGAGACGAGAAAGAGAAGGATGACTGAAGCGTGAGTGAGAGTCGAGGAGGGGGATGAACAAAGGATGAGAATGAACAAGGTATAAGGATTACAGAGGGAGTGTGGGAGCGCAATATCGATGACTGATGAGCAAGGGCTGAGTGAGAGGGATGAGTCTCACCATCTCCTCGTCCTCGGCCAGCACCAGGTCGTAGTCACTGAGCGCCACACAGAAGATGATGGCGGTGACTCCCTCAAAACAGTGGATCCACTTCTTCCTCTCAGACCTCTGACCCCCCACGTCAAACATCCTGGGGAGAAAATACACATACTGACTGTTAGTATCCATGTGCAAACGCACAAAAAACTAAACTCAAAGTATTTTCAAACAGCTCTACATTAAAACATTTTGCCATCTCCCACAAACCATCACACTCCTCATGAACACTACAGCTAGTAAACTTCAGCCCTGAACTGAACCCTCTGTAGACAAGAGGGTGTCATCAGCTGGCTTAAGGCATCAGCATGCTTCCCAGCTGAAACAGTTCAGAAGAGTTTGTGCAAATATTATGACAACATTTTGTGACGTTTCTGTTTGTTTTGGACTTCGGTAAGGACTTTTTCGGCTGTTCGGGCACACAGAATTTTTTCTCGAGGCCAGTAGAAGTTCGGGAGCCGAAGTCTACGCCCCTTGTCTGTGATTGGTCAACTGTAGGGATTCTTCAATAAAGTCTTTGTTGTCATTCAACGAGAGACTAGTCGTTTTCATGCACATTTTTTCATTGAGAAATACTGCACCAATCAGCTTAGATGTAAAATTGCGCGACTAAGATCTCCTTGACAAAAATGTCAAAATTAATGACAGATTTCACGAGTTATCTTAGATTAATTCTGACAGCATCTCAAAATAGACAAACAGTACATTATGCTGCTTTTTTCTAGTTTTTAAGGGAGTTTGCGAGCACACTTATTCGGTTCGCCTAGCCGCCAGCCGAACTGAAGCATGCAGACGCCTTTTGGCCTGTTGAGAGACCCTTATGGCGCATTTCCAAACAGGATTTACCCCAGTGTTTTACCCAAAAGGCTCAGGCTTTTCTGTTTCCATCTACGCGGGCCGGCACACGTGTCTCACTGGGCCATGGCGGCGGCAGCGGACCTGCTCTCACTTGGGGCCAAAGCCAGGCCACTGGTTCTTTTACATAACAATGGCTAACTGAACTTTAACACCTTCTCACAAAGCAACTGTTTTGATTATGCAGAGGTTGTTGATGCTGCTCTTCACAAGTCCTCACTGCCAGCCCTAGCTATGGAAACACAATTTCCCTTGTATAACGTAAGGGTGTATACACTAGTGTTAACACTGGTGTTAGTCGAAAAGCAGCACTAGAGTGGGTACAGCTGTTAAAGGATGTTGTTTCAGACACACTATTGAGATGCACCCTTAGAGTGGGTACACAGGAGACTGTCTCACTTGAAGTGGAGATCTTTGAAGGTGAAATGAGTCTCCACGATGCCGGTGGTCTTCACCCTGGTCCTCAGCACGTCCTGCTGGGTGGGCACGTATGCTCCGTGGGCTATCCTGTCCAGGTCATTCAGATAACTGAGAGAGAATGATGGATAGGGAGGTCAGTGTTAACGGTTTGTTGAATGTTGCAGTTGTGTGAAGGAGGTTAGTGTACTCTCTGAAGCAGGACTGTGTGTGTGTTACTCACTAGGCGGCTGAGTCGTTGAGCTGGTACTCTCGTGAGCGGCCGAAGCAGGCCTGGACCCCCCTGTCCTTCCAGAGGCGCTGGATGACTCCGGCCAGCTCACCGGTCATGAAGCCCTCCTCTGCCGATCCCGCCAGCACAAACAGCTGACGAGCATCATCCTGGTGGGGGACAGGAGACACAACCAACGGTTAGGAGGCAGAAGCAGTAAGGTAGGGTTTATTCAGACATCCTCCCTATCGTTTTAAACCTAAGATGCCTTGCAGACCCTCTGGTAACCTTTCTGGGTGAAGTTGCGCTATATTGTTTACGTCCACCCATCAACATCTTCCATCTATGAAATAACACCAATTTGTATATTTTTTAGGTCAGGGCTAGGGGTTGCGCTGGGAATTACTTTTCTTCACCTCTCCATTAAAACTACCATCAACCCTCCCCGTGCTTCTTACAGCCAAACCCTATCCCCTGCCATTTGACCTCATTGACTAACCACCTCCACCACTCCTGAACTCCCAGGCACAGATCTAAGATCAGCTTGCCCTCACCAAAACCTAACCTCAACTATAAGGAGTTAAAAAGCACAAAACTGCTCTTGGATCAGTGTCTAGAGCTCCCAGTGTCCTACTCCACTCACCGCTCTGGCTGATTCGGCGAAGTCGATCTTGAGGCGCCCCATGGCTCTGATGATGGCGATGATTGACTGGATCGTGTTGCTGTACACCACCGCCTTGTACTGCTTACACTCCTCCTCTGAATAGCCCGCCTCATGGATGATCCTGGGAGAAAGAGTGAGGAGAATGGGAAAGTAGAGTGGAGGAGCAGGATAGCAGGAGAAAGAAAGCATGAATAAACAACTAGGCCTATTGCCTGTTATTCAAATGTGTTATGGAATGACATTGGATAGATTGATACATAGAAAGTTACATGATCATTTCACCTAAAGTAAACATTTCCGTAAACTATTTAGATAACGAGAAACTTACTTCATCTGTTTGACAATGGTACTCTTTCCTGACTCCCCAGCACCTGATAGAGACAGACAGAGAGGGAAAGAGAAGGGAGGAGGCCAATTAATGAGTGATAGACATTACACATTATCCATTCATTCATGGCTGTTTTGACTTGAGCTATTGGGCTGGATCCTAATTTGAGATCCACACACGTAGGCCTAACTCACATTTTGCACAAACTTACAGTCCAGAGACTGAGACTGAGTAGCTAATAGCTATTCAGCATTGGGAAACCAAGTGTCTGATCTGCCCAAACAGGAGAGTTAGCCAGGCCTTAGTTTAATTGGATTAATCAACTGGATCCTCCTACCAATGAGATTATAGCTCTGGCGTGCCAAAGATTTAGCAACCCGCATTATACTCGCTCAGACCAACTGGTTGTGTACACCATCCACAGAGTCACATCAACTTTGGCAAAGATTGATATGAGTAGGATTGTCACGATAACAGCATTTTACAAACGATACCAGGTCAAGTATCATGATATTGAGTAGCATCGCGATACCACAGTAAAAAAATAAAGATTTACACTTCTACTCAATGCAACACATTGATTTTAACTTCACACTGTTCAGTGTATAATAGAATACTGTATAGAATGGCTGATTTGCTAACATTTGCAAAGGCCTACCTGTGATTTGGCTGGAGGAATGGGAGGGAGAAATATACATCAGTGGAGGCTGCTCAAGGGAGGACGGCTCATAATAACGGTTGGAACAGCGCAAATGGAATGGCGCAAATGGAATGGCATCAAACATAGAAACCATGTGTTTGATACCCTTCCACCTATTCCGCTCCAGCCATTACCACGAGCGCATACTCCCCAATTAAGGTACCACCAACCTCCTGTGATATACATGCATAAATGATATGCATGTCATTGTGTCAGTAAGGGGAAAACACTGCATGAAACCTTTACTCTTCCGTTAACAGACACACACAGTCTCCCTCACGCTCATACACACGACTTTCTCTCTCCCACAAACACACATTGCACCTTTTCTAAACGTTAGCCACCAAACAGAATTTAAGGAACACCAGAAAGAAATAGATTTTAGGCCTATATGAATCCTACCTTTTGAAGCACATCTCATGAGTAGCAGAGCCTTCTCCTTTCTTCCTGTGCCAATCAAATTTGCCTAAACCTAGTGTCAAGTTACCAGGTTGTTAGCTAGCTAGGTAACATGACTGAACGTTGTTCGTTATCAAACCAATAATTAGCTCAATTTTCCCTCTCTGACACTCAGTGGCTGCATGACAGTGAACTTGCAAAGTCCACTCAGACTGATCGGTGCTCTTGGTAATAACAAGCGATGAAATTACCTTCTACCCCCCCCCCCCACCACACACAGCGGAGTCGCTCACCACCTTCCGGAGACATTTGAAACCCCACCTCTTTAAGGAATACCTGGGATAGGATAAAGTAATCCTTCTACCCCCCCCCCAAAAATTGTAAAGTGGTTATCCCACTGGCTATAGGGTGAATGCATCAATTTGTGAGTCGCTCTGGACTAGAGCGTCTGCTAAATGACGTAAATGTGCCCTTGAGCAAGGCACTTAACCCTAATTGCTCCTGTAAGTCGCTCTGGATAAGAGCGTCTGCTAAATGACTTAAATGTAAATGTAAATGTAAATTATACAATGTATCAACATTGCTCTCTTTGAGCTCTGCTCCAATGTCTAACAGAAGAATCAGAGTCTGCATCCCCGCTCGCCATCACAGCTAAATTATATTTTAAAAAACTGAAGGTGGAATAGATGCGTGAAGAGTGGATGGAGAGAAACAGGCGAGTCAGGCGCTACATGGTCATTCCGTCGCATTGTCCGTGCAGCATTTAGGGTGCATTCATACTTATTGTGCTTCGCCGAGCAGTGCAGAGCTATTGTGAAGTCAGTCAGTTTGTGTTTATACAGGACCTCCCGCCCTCACCTACTGTCAACCAATCATGTCAATGCGGAGTGCTTAATCTACACACAATACGCCATAAATGACAAAGCAAAAACAGGTTTAGAAATGTTTGCTAATTAATTAAAATAAGAAACTGAAATATCACATTTACATAAGTATTCAGACCCTTTACTCAGTACTTTGTTGAAGCACCTTTGGCAGCGATTACAGCCTGGAGTCTTGGGTATGATGAGTTTTTCCCATTGTTCTCTGCAGATCCTCTCAAGCTTTGTCAGGTTGGATGGGGAGCGTTGCTGCACAGCTATTTTCAGGTCTCTCCAGAGATGTTCGATCGGGTTCAAGTCCGGGCTCTGGCTGGGCCACTCAAGGACATTGAGACTTCTCCCAAAGCCACTCCTGCGTCGTCTTGGCTGTGTGCGTAGGGTCGTTGTCCTGTTGGAAGGTGAACCTTCGCCCCAGTCTGAGGTCCTGAGCACTCGAGCAGGTTATCGTCAAGGATATCTCTGTACTTTGCTCCGTTCATCTTTCCCTCGATCCTGACTAGTCTCCCAGTCCCTGCCGCTGAAAAACATCCCCACAGCATGATGCTGCCACCACCATGCTTCACCATAGAGATGGTGCCAGGTTTCCTCCAGATGTGACGCTTGGCATTTAGGACAAAGAGTTCAACTTGGTTTCATCAGACCAGAGGATCTTGTTTCTCATGGTCTGAGAGTCCTTTAGGTGCCTTTTGGCAAACTCCAAGTGGGTTGTCATGTGCCTTTTACTGAGGGGTGGCTTCCGTCTGGCCACTCTACCATAAAGGCCTGATTGGTGGAGTGCTGCAAAGATGGTTGTCCTTCTGGAAGGTTCTCCCATCTCCACAGAGGAACTCTGAAGCTCTGTCAGAGTGACCATCGGGTTCTTGGTCACCTCCCTGATCAAGGCCCTTCTCCCCCGATTGCTCAGTTTGGCTGGGTGGCCAGCTCTAGGAAGAGTCTTGGTGGTTCCAAACTTCTTCCATTTAAGAATAATGGAGGCCCCTGTGTTTTTGGGGACCTTCAATGCTGCAGACATTTTTTTGGTACCCTTCCCCAGATCTGTGCCTCGACACAATCCTGTCTCGGAGCTCTATGGACAATTCCTTCGCCCTCATGGCTTGGTTTTTGCTCTGACATGCACTGTCAACTGTGGGACCTTATATAGACAGGTGTGTGCCTTTCCAAATCATGTCCAATCAATTGAATTTACCACAGGTGGACTCCAATCAAGTTGTTACAACATCATCAAGGATGATTAATGGAAACAGGACGCACCTGAGCTCAATTTCGAGCCTCATAGTAAAGGATCTGAATAGTTATGTAAATAAGGCATCAGTTTTTTATTTATTAATACATATGCACAAATGTCTAACAACCTGTTTTCACTTTGTCATTATGGGGTATTGTGTGTAGATTGATGAGGACATTTTTATTTATTTAAATCAATTTTAGAATAAGGCTGTAACGTAACACATTTTGGGAAAAGGGAAGGGGTCTGAATACTTTCCGAATTTACTGTAAGCCCTATGCGCGTCGCACAGAGCAGGGCTCGAGATTTAGGTAGATTTTTGCCAGTGGCACACCGGGCCAGTGCCAACTGAAAGCTACTGGCCCGAATGAAAAGAAATACTGATCCGGCTCAAGATCTGACAGGGAAGCGAATGATGCAGGTATAATTTCAATAGCAGGTGATTTTATATTTAATTTGCGGGCTGAGCAAGTAGCCTATATAGGGTAAATACAGATATTGGCAAGTCAAATTACAGGACTTTATATTTAATTGTTGTAACTGCCTATAGAAAAAAAACTCCTCCAAATGTATTTAAAAAAAAGTATGCATTACCACTAAGAATGCAATTTTTAAGATGCTTCCAAATGGTATTATGCATTGCCATTCACATTATTTTGCCATTCAAAGAAACATAAACGTGGGCATTGCCTTACTAAATAGACAGCATGCTCCCGACACAAACACACTATTAAAGTTTGTCCACTTCGTAGCTAGTCAGTCTCGCCATTTGAAAATGTTGAGTTATTGAGGGGTTAATGTATCATGTTCTATTACGAGAAAGTTACCTCAAAAAAAAAAAATTGGTTTATTTTTGGTAAATTTTATCATCATGATTTATTTAAAACAGTAAATTGTGAACCAAAAGCTAAACGTGACCAGGTAAAAAATAAATAAAATAATAATAATTCAACCTTGCAACCAATAAAAACAATGTGTCAAACGATCGCAAATGCAACTATTTTGGTCGCAGTATCGAACCCTGAAAAATCATTCATTTATCTGCATGTCCAGCCCTTATATGCAGCCTCACAATTAAGTGTTTTGCCATTTTCTTTTTAGGACAACAAGTAGAACACAAAACAATGACAGACAGTTGACAAATGTCAATAAATAAATAAATAAATAAAAAGGTCCACCAAGCAAAAACCTGATAAAAATGAATTTAAGAATGCCGTAAGTAGAGAAATGGTTTGCTTCGTGGGAAATTACTATCCAACTAGTCAAGTTTTATTAGTCATATGTATGGGATACACATGGTATACACGTCCAACGAAATGCTTACTCGCAGAAGTATATCATTTGTATCTATTATTTGCAAAGTTTGCCATGAAATGAGCAGCAACATTCCTCACTCGCTAGACGCTCAAATAAAATGGGAGTTACTCTTTTTTTTATTTTTGGTCTGGAAGAAAACTGTGTGATTTAAGCGTTGACAGACTCAGAACATGCAATTTTGTTGTTTCTCTATTAACAATTGTAAATTAGTAAAAAAAACATTTAAAATCTAAAACCAGGAAAAATTTAACTGACAAAACATAAATTAGGAAAAAAAATATATATATATATTTTTAAATCGGATTCTAGGGCCCCCCTTAGTTGTTTATTTAAGCAGTAAGGCCCGAGGGGGTGTGGTATATGCACAACGCAACAGGGAGTGCTAGGACACAGCCCTTAGCCGTGGTATATTGGCCATATATCACAAACCCGAGGTGCCTTATTGCTATTATGAACTGGTTACCAACGTATTTAGAGCAGTAAAAATACATGTTTTGTCATACCCATGGTTTACGGTCTGATATACCACAGCTTTCAGCCAATCAGTATTCAGGGCTCGAACCACCCAGGTTATAATAACCATTACTTTACCAGGTATATTGACAGAAAACATTATTTTGTACACTAAGGACCCGGGGAAGAGTTGCAGGGGAGAGGAAAATAGAAAAATGTGCCTATTTGAAAGCTAGAAAGATTAGTAGCTCGCAATTTTTGTATTTATTTTTAAGTAGCTCTCATGCGAGAAAAGGTTTGAGACACCTGGTCTACTGTGTGGAGTTTGTGACAGCAGCTATGTGAGCTTATTACAGTATTATAGACACCATGTCCTGGGATTTCATATGATCTTTTATGTACCAAACTTATGGGCGATTCAAGAGATTTAAAAAAAATCTGGTCAAGATTTTGAGTGAAAACCTCCTTTCATCAGCAAGGGCATTGAAGATGAAACGTGGCTGGGTCTTTCAGCATGACAATGATCCCAAACACACCGCCCGGGCAACGAAGGAGTGGCTTCGTAAGAAGCATTTCAAGGTCCTGGAGTGGCCTAGCCAGTCTCCAAATCTCAACCCCATAGAAAATCTTTGGAGGGAGTTGAAAGTCTGTGTTGCCCAGCGACAGCCCCAAAACATCACTGCTCTAGAGGAGATCTGCATGGAGGAATGGGCCAAAATACCAGCAACAGTGTGTGAAAACCTTGAAGACTTACAGAAAACGTTTGACCTGTGTCATTGCCAACAAAGGGTATATAACAAAGTATTGAGAAACTTTTGTTATTGACCAAATACTTATTTTCCACCATAATTTGCAAATAAATTCATTAAAAATCCTACAATGTGAATTTCTGGATTTTTTCTCTCAATTTGTCTGTCATAGTTGACGTGTACCTATGATGAAAATTACAGGCCTCTCTCATCTTTTTAAGTGGGAGAACTTGCACAATTGGTGGCTGACTAAATACTTTTTTCCCCCCACTGTGTGTGTGTGTGTATGTATGTATGTATGTATGTATGTATGTATGTATGTATGTATGTATGTATGTATGTATGTATGTATGTATGTATGTATGTATGTATGTATGTATGTATGTATGTATGTATGTATATATATATATATATATATATATATATATATATATATAGAGAGAGAGAGAGAGATTTTTTTTCATGTTCTCTGAATAAGTTTTGTTGTACAATTAAAGGTCAAATACACTGCATTTCAAACAGTCCGCAATAATCGAATGAATTCAGGGCTTGTGAAGTTAGACCTAGGCTAAATATAAGCTTCCACAACCATAAGACCCACTAATATCCTAATTATTTTAGCAAAATAGTTTAACCTGCTTTTTTTGCAATAATCACAGATCTGGCTTTCAAGTCAATGAAAATGCGTAGTTGACACATAAAAAGGGTATCGTTAGAAAGGTTAACTTCTCCTGTATTACAGTAAAAAATAATGTCTCAATGTGTTTCAGTGTCCATATGACCGATTCTGTTGGACCAAACCTCAAATAGCGAGTTGAAACCGCTTGTCTGAGGAAAAAGTGATCTCACCTTTGTTGTTGTGAGTGGCAGATGGAGGGGCTTGGTGTGTTTGTAAACCATAGAGGAAGAGGCGAAGAGAGGTTTCAGTCTCTAAAATCTGTTATTGTTAGGGCAGAGACGTGCATCTCGTCATTATATACAGTTCTCTGGTGTAAATGGGAAGGTGCGAAGCAGACAAGACCAAAAAGACAACACTAGAACAAGCGGACATTAACGCTCATAAAAAATGTAAATAAAAAAATGTGATTCTTGCAATACAGGCATTTAGAATATCGTGCAAAAACATTAACTCAAATGAATTTGATATATCACCCAGCCCTACCCAGGGGGGAAATTAAGGAAGTATGGTCCAGTACGGCATCCCGGCAAAATAAATAGTGGGGTACCGGTAAAACATGAGCCTATCACAACAATTAAAACACAAAATGTCAAGAGAACTGTAGCCTATTACACCACTTGTTATCATTACAGCATGTCAGAGGCATGAAAAATTAGCGAATGGACTTGAAAACAGGTGGTATAGCAAACACTCCAAAATGCGTTGTGGTTCGACGAGAACACTGAAGGGTGTTGCATGAGTGTCCGACCCACGGACAGCAGTGGACGCATAAATTCTAGCCTAATGACAATCGCCAAATGTTATTACACGTTTCTTTCCATTCACCACTATTTGGAGGCTGGAAATAGTTTGCGAGTGGATGTACGTGCGCGGGGTAGCCTAGTAAAGGAGTCCATTGAGGTGATTGTTTGACAATCGGATGAAAACATGACCGGTTGCATTTATGTAACAGTAAAAAAGGTAATACATTTTAAAAGCTAAATGACAAATGTTTATGACTAGGCCTACAAGAGATCCTATTGAATTAATAGGGATTCTATATGTAATTCTATGATTAGTACCAGGAAGAAAATAATTAAAGACTTTCACCCCCCTTGTACCTCAAACCATTCAAACTAATAGTTATCGACGAATCTAAATGGTACAACCCAGAAGTCTGTTTTAAAGGGGTTAGAAGGACTCCGACATTTTATGAGCCCAAAAAATCCCAAATGATTGTGCCATTATCTAATACATATGATAGGCTAAAGGCTACCGTACATTACACTAGTGTTGCACTGTATACCGAAACTCTGGCTACCACACCTTATGTTGCACAGTACACCAAAACTTCCGTACTTTTTCGTTACTAGAACATAAAAAACAGTTAGGTACTAGAATTTGTTACTTTCGGTACTTCTGTCAAATGGGTCTTTCAGATCAAATCTATCAGCACAGCCGATGTCCCCCTTATAGCGCAAAAGTACCGTACCTACTGCACTTAGCCTGCACTGGGAGTCTGGGCTGCATCATGTTAGCTCCCCACTCAAGCTGGACAGAAGTTAACACAATTGAATAATGTGACATGGCATGTAGAAAGGTTGAAACTTATAATTACTGTTCGCAAAACAATGTCTATACAGGCTAGAACACTTTACAAACCAAGAAGATACGGTAGCTTCCAGCTTTGTAGGCCAATTTTTCTTGCTAGCTTACAGCTGAAGCTAACATCAATTCACTATCCTAGTACTTTGTGATAATATACAAACCATAACTCAAAATATGCTGATTTCAAAGCTGATTGCCACCAACATTTTATTAATTCACTTAAAACTGACTGTCTGAATAGGGCTTAGGCAGCCGCTCCCCTCTTGCCTAGTGAATGACCCATTACTGGTTAAAGAGACAGCACACATTAAATAAGCTACTTCTATGCAAATGGTGTGAAAATTCTGGTATCGTGATAACACTAGGTTCTTACCCTGTCACAACAACTTCTACTGTACCTGGCTTTTTCATTAGTTGTCATGACAAACACCAACCATAGAATCGGAATACTAATTTTATTTATATGATCCCAACAGTACACCCAAGCGTTTTGATCTAAATTATTTGCCCATATCGTGCAGCCCTACTGAGATGCGCCGTCTTTCCCCACCATAAGCATTTATTTTGGGAGATTGCAAAATGACCTTTTCGATCAAGACATGCTAAATATATAGTTTCAGGTGATACTAAAACATGTTTTGTTTAGTTACTTTTTCCTCAACTTGTTTCTCAAACTTTATCGCAAGACAAGCTAGCGTGCACTGCAGAGCAGCCAGCTAGCTAAATGCTAAACTAGGTTGAAGATATCATTGTAGCTAGCGACCTCTACCTAATAATTATCGTCAAAAACAAAATGACATTTCCATCACAATAAACTTAAGATACAATGCGGTATCTTCAACATAGCCTAGCTTATAGCTAGCTGCTCTACAGTGCAAGCTACCCTGACCTCCTATAAAGTTAAAGAAATAAATTGAGGAAAAAGTATCTAAACAAAAACAGGGTTTATCGTCACCTGAACAATACATTTATCCTGTCTTGAATTAAATGGTCAGGCTCTCCTCCATCTTGCGTTAGAAACACTACACTAGTCCGTTCAGTAGCGAGGCAAGACTGAAGATGTACGGCGTAATGAAATACATCACTAGTGTTGTACTAGTAAACTAGGCATTAGAACAGCCAATACGCGTTCACACAACTGGGAGCTCGGAAATCTCCGACTTTCGACTTCAGTGTGTTCAAGACAACTCGGAAAGGAAAAAAAACGAACTGGGAAAAATCGTTTTGAACGGTCTTCCGACTAGGAATTCCAAGTTGGAAACTTCGGCCTCTTTCTAGAGCACCGACTTTAAGATTACGGACGATTTGATTTGACCTCGATTTTCCCCAAGTTCCCACTCAGTTTTCTTGAAAGTACCATTAGTGCGTCGTTAGTTGCTTTCTTGCCCTCCCGTGTCACTTTATACACAGAAGATCTCCGCTAAACATAGAATCACATGGTTTATCCGTATCTCTGTGGCCGCCGAGAACTAGTTGACTACCAATACAAAGTTGCCGATGCCTTTGTAACTGATAAACAAGCGACGTATAAACATATGCTTCAAACGAAAACCGAAATATATTTAATGTTAAATCAATTGAGTTATATTTTCTTCTGTAGGCTACTGTTTGTAATTTGTCTCAATATATGCCTATTTCATGATGTGTAGCCTAACATCTGCACAATGTGCCAAATCGGTGATTTATTAAATGTATTGGGTTAACTCTCGGAGATGATCCGTCGTTAGTATTGTGAAATAATAAGGAAATATTTGAATGGAGGAAGCTGATCCGAGAGCAGCGCTGGCTTTCTTTCAATCCTATCAGTAAAGACATGCCCAACGACCGATTTCTCTGCGTGGTGTATTGGTTAACGCAATTACATCTTCGGCCGTTGTAGGAAAGATGCATCGTGAAAACACTCGTAAACCTAAATTCAATCGCTATCGGGAAACCGGGCCCTGATTATTGAGACTAAGGTTAGCTAGCCGTGACACCTGAGATAGCTAGAGATTAGTTAGCCAGTTAAAAGCTAAGGATGGAGTAGTTAGCTTAGCTAGCTGCATGGCCAGTAGCTTGTTATCCCAACAGGACTAGCTAAGTAGCTAGTTAGCGAATTAATGACTAGGCTAACATTAGCTACCTAGCTATTTAGATTTGTTCAATGTAATTTCATTCATTAAAGTTTCCAATGTTATCACTATCAAACTCTTGTACACCAACTGTATAAAACTGTTATCTAACTAGTTAAGCAAGGCAACCAAATGGCACAAGCTAGGTCAGGTTAGCCAGTTAGCTAACTTTTCATTCAACCATTCGTTCGACACTCCGACTTGGTCTCACCGAGCAGAAGCAGCTTGACCTCCCGTGCTGCTTTTTCCCCGTCGTCCCGTAAATTCCTGTCGATAATTTTACTGCGCTCCTGCGCCGCCTTATCACCCGTGCTCAGAGTACACCCCATCTTCAAGCCGATTCCCAAAAATGTGTAAAAGTAAAAAAGATAAAATGCAACAACATGCACAAGCTAAAAGGAGGGCGCCTCCCTCGAGACGGAGATTCAAACACAACCCTTGCCTCGCACCCAGGCTAGCCAAACAATTTGTTTCTCAGCAGCACTTCTAAAATTACTTTATTTGAAAACAAATGTTCGTTGTGGTTTCTGTCTCTGTTATCTGCCGATGTAGAAGTATTCGGATGTTTCGGTAGTGTTCACAATTTTCACGTTTCTTTACGCTTTTGAGCTGTTGAACGGGTTGTTTCCTGTTCTTCAAATACCCGATGTATGCGCATGCGTGATAGCGCGCAGCCCCTATTCATCCCCGCATCAAATTGTATTTTCTGTCTGGCACCAAAGTGATAATATTGCTGCTCTCTTGAGTTGATGCCCTGAACCCATTGAGATGAAGGCAAAATGTTGTACCTGTGAGTTTATAACATACATGACAGGTTCAAAAAGCAGTACATACAATAGCCTATCTATCTCTGTGTTATCTTTACAGAAATGCAGAAGTCAAGAAAGTAGCCTACCTACCTAATAGTGCAGTGCCAGGTTTTAGAGCCTGGCCCAAAGATTATATAGCCTACAAACAGTGTAGCTATCTGGATGAAGGTCTATTTATTGCACCATAATAGTCATTGTACTCCATCAATGTTAAATCCTAATTGAGACAATGCTAATAATTCACAATATAGTTCAATTATCAAATCAAATTGTATTTGTCACATGCGCCAAATACAACAGGTGTAGACCTTACAGTGAAACGCTTACTTACAAGCCCTTAACCAACAATGCCGTTTTAAGAAAAATAAGTGTTAAGTAAAAAATAGATATGTAAAAAAAAAAAATGTTTTTTAAATAATTAAATAATTAAAGAGTAGCAGTAAAATAACAGTAGCGAGGCTATATGCAGGGGGTACCGGTACAAAGTCAATGTGGGGGGGGCACAGGTTAGTCAAGGTAATTGGGGTAATATGTACACTACCGATCAAAAGTTTAGGGTCACTTAGAAATGTCCTTGTTTTCGAAAGAAAAGCAATTTTTTTGTCCATTAAAATAACATAAAATTGATCAGAAATACAGTGTAGACATTGTTAATGTTGTAAATGGCTATTGTAGCTGGAAACGGCGGATTTTCAGCAACCATCAGTCCTGTGTTCCAATGGCATGTTGTGTTTGCTAATCCAAGTTTATCATTTTAAAACATTACATTTACGACACATTGGTGCATTCACCTTATAGCCAGTGGGATAACTACTTTACAATATTATTATTATTTTTTTTTGGGGGGGGGGGGGGGGGGGGGTAGAAGGATTACTTTATCCTATCCCAGGTATTCCTTAAAGAGGTGGGGTTTCAAGTGTCTTCGGAAGGTGGTGAGTGACTCCGCTGTCCTGGCGGCGTCATGAGGGAGCTTGTTCCACCATTGGGGTGCCAGAGCAGCGCACAGTGTTGACTGGGCTGAGCGGGAACTGTGCTTCAGCACAAAGGCTAATTGATCATTAGAAAACCCTTTTGCAATTATGTTAGCACAGTTGAAAACCAGAAGCAATAAAACTGGCCTTCTTGAGACTAGTTGAGTATCTGGAGCATCAACAATTGTGGGTTCGATTACAGGCTCAAAATGGCCAGAAACAAATAACTTTCTTCTGAAACTTGTCAGTCTATTCTTGTTCTGAGAAATGAAGGCTATTCCATGCGAGAAATGGCCAATAAACTGAAGATCTCGTACAACGCTGTCTACTACTCCCTTCACAGAACAGCGCAAACTGGCTCTAACCAGAATAGAAAGAGGAGTGGGAGGCCACTGTGCACAACTGAGCAAGTGGACAAATACATTAGAGTGTCTAGTTTGAGAAACAGGCGCCTCACGGGTCCAGGATGCTGACCTTCTAGGCAGAGTTGCAAAGAAAAAGCCATATCTCAGACTGCCCATCTTAATCTTTTATTTTATTTGGCCAGTCTGAGATATGGCTTTTTCTTTGCAACTCTGCCTAGAAGGTCAGCATCCCGGAGTCACCTCTTCACTGTTGATGTTGCGACTGGTGTTTTGCGGGTACTATTTAATGAAGCTGCCATTAAATAGGATTTGTTTGTAAATAGATGTTATTTTAATGGACAAAAAAATTGCTTTTCTTTTCGAAAACAAGGAAATTCTAAGTGACCCCAAACTTTTGAACGGTAGTGTACATGTGGGTAGAGGTTATGTGATTATATGCTTTATAAGGTCAAGTGCTGGGGGTTGAATGTGTAGGGCCTATGTAGTGTACCCAGACAGGCTAGCCAGTGTAATCTAAAATGGATTATGGAGAGTTAACGGAGACTAATGGAGATTAGGCATTCAGTTAATAAATGGCTTTGCCTGGCTGATGTTTGTTTCTTTGTTTGTTGGCTGCGGTGGGGGGCTTGTGCTCAGTCAAGATGCTCAGCCAAAGTGATGACACTTTGTAATGTGTTTATGGATCCCAGGCACGTCCGTCCGCTCATTAGGCAGGATTAGGTGGCAGATTGACGAGGGTAGCATTTTCTGAGCTAAACTGACCAAGACGCACCTCCAACAACAACACATAAAACCTCACATAGTTCTGCCCAAAACAATGACAATTTCTCTAAACCAGTGGCATATGGGCTTTTTAGTTGAGCGCTGATGCCGCCCTTTGATAAGCAGTTCCCACTTTGTCAAAGGCAGGGGCACGAAATATTTTGCTTGTCCATTCCCAGCGCACCTCTCCAGGGTGCTGTTGGAGAGACGCATCTCTGAAGCGCTCCACCAACATAAATCATGTAGCAGATATAGGATATGTAGAAAGAGTATGTGGCCTTTTCTGTCGCCTACAGGCTGGAGATAAATGTATGACAATGTAATAAGACGGACACTTTTTACATCATGCAGGTTTCTCCGATCAAATAGCCAAACCTAAATGGCAATCAATCAAATAAAAAATGAGCTGTCATGTTAACCAACAACATATCCTAAAAACAGGACAGGTCAAAAAGTAAATATGGAATGGACAATAACAACTGTTATCCAGGAGTTTCGCCCCATTGTCATGATCAGTTGTTTCAAGTTTGTATTATCAAATTTTGACAAGCTGATCATAGCGAAAAATAAAATACTTCTGCATTTCCCGCTGTGTAAACACATTGCAAATAGGCTCGAGATAACTCCTGATAAATTTGGGTAGCTGATATTCAGAGCTTAAATAGCCAAATTGATTAGTCACAGGAATCAGGACTGTTAAAGCCAATGCAAAGGCCTGTTTACAAACAGTGGGCCTACCACATGGATGGGCATTCGTAAAATTCCATTGTGGGCGGACATGGTAGGCTAGACCCCAGTAAGCACCGACCGACGCTGAAGCCTTTTGGAAGTCTTTTTTTGGTGCAGTTCTGGACCGGCCTTGATTTCCACATCCACGGACATTGGTTTTTGGTCCTGTACGGACCAAATCTGAACCAATCATTGATGTTTATGTTTGGTTTAGATTTGGTGCGGTCCAGACCGGCCTTGATTTCAAAGTCCATGGACATCGATTTTTGTCTGGTCTGGACTAGCCTTGATTTGGCCCAAACATAGATCTCTATAAATTACTTAATTTCAACTTTAATTCAGAACCAAAAATGAGCCTGATTTCAACATCCGGAAAATACATATTTTCAACATCTGTAAAATACATATTTTAAACATCAGTAAAATACATATTTTCAGCATCTGTAAAGTATATATTTTAAACATACGGAAAATACCTTTTCACCTTTCATTCAGAACCTAAATTGAACCTAACGTCAACGTCTGGAAAATACGTATTTTCATGTGCGTGTGTGTTCGTAGTACATGTTTGCGTGTTTGTGGAGATTTGAATTTATATTTCATCGATCCTGTCATGGTAACTGACAGAGTTAATGAGCAGGAGCAGATTTGCATTGAACGCTACAGCCACAATAATAACACGAGTTATACACAGCAGCCCTATATACTGTCAGACAGAGATGCTATTCAGGGCCATTGGTTGAGAGCGAAAATAAGCTTTCTTATTGGACATGATCAGGTAGTAGTCTAACGTCCTGTTTCACTCTGTTTCAACACCTTGCCTACTGAACATGGCCCTGGTGTAGGAGACTGGACTGGAGTACCAATGACATAAGGGTCATAACCCTTGGGTAGTTATTTCACTCCAACCACATCCAGAGGGAATAGACATTCAAATGACTGTGTCCTGACAGACGCCTAATGACTCATAGAATACACAGAGAGTGAACCTCAGTCATAGAAGTAGAATGAGTAGAATAAAAAATAGACATTCCATTCAAAGCAACTCTCTGTGGTGTATGGACCACCACAGCCATACTGGGTCACGGTGGACCATTTGGAATGTTTGATTAATTGCAGCTAATCTCATTGCTCAGAATATTGTGCCTCTTTCCATGCTTCACACATGCAGCTATGGAATATTCCAGTTCTATTAAGTATTGTGTAAATAGCTCTATTCTATTGATTCTATATCTATGGCTTCAGTATTATGCCCTAGTCATACAGGTGCACTGCTAATGCTGCGTTCATAACCAAGTGGGAAGGTGGTAATTACCAGTTGTGAAGTCATAAATACCAGTTGGATGCATTTACGTGCTTTGAACTCATTGAGAAACGCAGATTGGCTAATGGCCAACAAGCTGTGTCAACCATAATGTCACGTCTCCTCCCGTTGCTCCCCTCCGGTGCTGCGATTCGCCGGTCTACTGACCTCGGCAACACCGGAATGGAAACCCAACGCACTCTAATCACCTCCAGCGCACCTGCACCTCATCATCTCATCACCACCCCTATTTAGCCCTGGACTGTTCTGGATGATGTTGTGTGTGATTGTTAAGCTTCGTGTCGTTTACGCTGTCTTTGTTATTTCTCTTGCTCATTGTTAAGTAAACCTTGACCTCTTCGTATACTCAGTACGCGTCACAGAATTACA